GAAGCCGAAAACATTTCGGATTTAATTACGTGGAAGACCAAACTCAGCTCAACGTCAAAACCATAAACAGGCGCTAAGGTAAGCTAAACTTAACCTGGGTTGTATTTGCTAACAATGGGCCTCATTCACCAAACGTTCTTAAGATAAAGTTTCTTCTTAAAACCCACTTACGCAGTTTTCACGAAGATTCTGACATTCACCAGTGTTTTCTTAATTGGGATTTGTTCTTAGGTAAGGACAGAATCTACACACTTTCAAGAGCACAAATATGTGAACAATTCTGTGGTTTAATAACAAATCATGAATCTGATCTAGACTTTTTCTTAGGACCTTTCTCAAGAACACATTTAAGAAAAAAACTTGATATAGGTGAATGAGGCGTAATATCATCTCTAAGGATAAATAACGTTATAGATCAATGTTAAGATCAATTAGATAAGTTAGCTAAGTTAGCTTTTCTTAACTTAGCTGCTGACAGATAGCTTGACAAATCAGAGATATTAAACAGGACTGTAAAATGCTATAAAACATTTGGTGTAAAGATAAATTAGTGCACTCATAGGGATTTCATCACTTCTTTTGTAGCATTAAAGTTTGTGTGAAGCCTTCATGTACAAGATAATGAGTCTTCCTCAACTTCTAACGTTGCTCCAGTATTAGCAGTAGCTCTTTTGTAGGGGCAGATTTTTTACCTCACATGTCCTCCTTATTAGATATGAAAACCTGCAGCTTTAAATTGGCCTACGTTCATAGAGCATGTATGTCTCAAGTGAATAACCTGTAAATCCAGTTTATTTTGAACAACAAAATGTCTTAATGTACTTCTCTTAGCGCTTCTAAGTTTTCCATTGTGCTACTCAGCTTTTTAGTCTGTTAGCCCAAGTATTACAGGTACCATCAGTAAATTTCTACTGAGAGAATTGCCACGCAACAACGTCCTCCAAGTTTGTCTGGCGCTAGAGGGCGCTCCCGAACACGTCCAAAATGAAGGGTTTCCTATGGGGCTTTTGTGCAAAATCATGATTTGTAAATGTTTATAAGTTTCAAAGAGTAAACATATTTCAACACTGCTATTCTATTTTTTACTGTTTTTGAGCACCAGTTATAGGACTTTATAACATTCATGGTGTAAGTGAGCGCAAACCACTTCACTCAGCCAATAAGCTGATGGACTCACCAACCAATCAGCACTCAGTAGCAGCATTGCTAATATCCTACAGCCCAAAACCTATTTACTGTAGAAAAACTGTAATATACAGGCAAGTTTTCTTAGATTTGTAGTGGAAAACATCCTTCTAGTTTCCAAAATTAAAGAAAGTCCCAGCATAAATGGCTAGAAACATGTTTAATTTTTCATTTTTAGCGTTCATTTATAGAGGTCTCGCCCCCAGTGTTTAGCAGTTATGTTTTTGATATAATGGGACACATTATATGTGTCCCAGGCTTCACTTAAACTGGCTCCAGCACTACCAGATACCCTGAGCTAAGTTTGATGTAGGAGGTGGGGCTTGTCGGATGAGGTCTAAACTTTAATTACTTGTTAGTTACATTAGCCTCATAGTTTTAGCACAAAGCTAAAGAAGCAAACTTCAGACACTTTGCTGATGGTCTACATTTGCAACAAAGGGACAACTGTGTCCATTTCTTCACTGAGTGATTCCTCTAAGTTTTTGCCCAGACTGGGTTCTGCAGAGCTGTGGAGGCATCAGAAGGGTCAGGACGTGGGGTTGGGCCGTAAGTGACTGCAGCAGATGCTCATGGGCCTTGCGTGCGGTAGGGAGGCCGGACGTTTCGTGTGAAAGCGCTGGCAGGGACAGCTCAGAGGGTTTGAGTTGAGCCTGAACTCTGCCTCCGCTGTCAGGACGGACATATATCTCCAGCCCAATGAGAGCATGATGGCTCTTCCACATGGCTGAGAGAGAGAGAGAGAGAGAGAGAGAGAGAGACCCCCCCACTCCACCACCACTCTTCAGCACTCTCAAGTTGATGTATAGGAACGCGCACAAGGGTGCAAAACTCATTCCAACGCACACCGCTCTGCATCGTCGTCTTGTTTGGTCATGGCCTTACAGGCTTTGAGAAGATTAGGCAGTGCGATGCAATTAAACAAACTACAGTGTACCAATATTATTAAGCAATTTACCCCACAGTGATTTGAGCCTCGCTAAAATGACTAATTGAATTTCTGCCTTTGATGTGGACCAACAGTGTTTGAAAGTCGGAGGAGAAACAGGGGCCGTTGTTTCAAAACATCGAGAATGTTAACAGAAAAGGTAGGAAAAAGAGAAGAATATCGGAAATTAATTTCCAATTCCTCCTCTAGCCCAAAGGCTCCCCTTCTTAATCCACAGTGTTAGCTGGGAAAAGGTTTATTATATTATATTTATTATCGAATCCCGAGAAAAGGCCTCCAGAAGCCGCTTGCTCTGCCGGTATTAAAGAGCTAACATTAATGGGGGGAAAGCTCTCCGTGTTCTGTGGCATTTACGCAGGTTGAGCAGGAGAGCATTAGTGCTTAAAACCTCTGTGCCACGATTAACAATCACGCACACTGCGAGGAGCCCATGTTATCCCTCTGACGCTGGAGCAACGAGAGGAAAAGCTCTTTTTTGTCATCAAATCCTTAATTCTTTCTTCTCGGGGGGTGAAAAAAAGAGGGGTAATACCGAGAATGTTTCCCAATCTGCTTTGAGAAAAGGAAGAAAAAAGAGGCAGAGAGAGGGAGAAAGAGAACTCCCAATAAAACATGTGTGAACGAGGGGGTAATTGTGGACAAATGCAGCATTGAAATTCATTTTCAACTCTTTACACACCATTTCAATCTTATTTTCTGCTTGTTAGCCACATCTTGTTGGTGAGGGTCGGCAAGACTGCCCAGTATTGATGGGTAATTGTGTATAATTCACTCTTCACATGCGATTTGCATCAATACGCATCATCTTTTCCCGTTATTTTAGCGAGAACCCACTGAGAAGCTTTCCTCAGCGCTCGCTAATAAAGGGGGCCAAAGAGGATGAGATGCAGAAGAACAAACATTATCCAAAAGCGCCACATTCAGCAAGACATATTCACCCACACGCTCGCAGAGGACACACGCATACGACAACAAACAAATCCACTTGTCTACAGTACACAAACACACACACACACTGAGCGGACGATGCAGAAGAAACTCGCAGTCAAAGGCTAATCTAATGCTGCCTATTGACTCAAATGGCAATTAGGACACCGAAGCATCAAATCGCATTCAGTAATTCTCTGCTTAGTCCTTTCATACAGAAAGAAAGGATGACAAAGAAGTGGCAAAAAAGCGTTTATGTACAATGCACCTCATGACAGTGTTAGGACCATATACTGTGCAAAAGTCAGAGACCACCTTTTCATGGATTTTATTTCCAGCCAACACGGCCAAGTGCAAGTCATGTATTTCTCTGTGTCAGGAAAAAGAGGAAGCCTCAAGACTTAAATGTAATCATTTTTTCCCTTAAATGGTCAGGGCCTGCCAGCGGGCCTAAAGCTGTATTAAACACTTCTGTAACCTAAGAATAGCTCAGCCAGTTTGCACTAAAGTCCCTGTAGATACTGAATAATAAGGCTTAGAATGTGAGAAGTCTGGGCTTTTAAGGGGTTAAAGTTCAGTCTTAGAAGTTGGTTGAAAAAGAAAACCCAATTACAAATTTACTCCCAAACTTCTTTTCCTCACTACGGGCTTCTTGACAGCTACACATCCGTTCAGACCCATAGCGCTGAGTTGTCTTCTCACAGTAGAAGGATGGACAGAAACACCTGTGGATTTTTTCACATCTGAAGCAAGATTTGAGCTTACTTTTCTCTTAAAGATGACAGTTTTAAATACTGTTTATCTGATAGGGACAGTTTGGTGTCTACCAGGTCTTGTGCAGTTGTTAGGAGCCCCATTATTTTTGTACCTTTTAACAATTTTTTGAACTCCAGTTTTGGAAACTCCTGTTTTCTCCTTCCTTATGTAAGTTCATTATCTTGCATCTGATATCTTACATCTAGTGTGTAGATAAGATGTGTTTGGGAAGTTGCTTGTGTGAATGTTAGTGTCTCTTTGAAGGGGAACATAATGTCAGTGACTCTTGGGAACAGCTTTTGTGAGGATGTAGCTATAACTCTTAGTTGTAAGATTGGAGGGATGGAAGTGTTAAAGTGGCAGTAACAAAAGTAAAGAGTGGACAAATTAAATAATGATATATTTGATATTTTACTTACTTTTTTTGTTTGAGACTTCTGACACTGAAAAGTGAGTAACTTTTACTTAATGGTGGTTTTGATGGGAAATTAACTTAAAAAAGGGTGGTCTCAGACTTTTGCACAGTATTGTCTCCCCTGTGTCCCCAGTAGTTGTACACTTGAAGCAAGTGGTCTCAATAAAACATCAAATCTGAGAGCGTTTGAATTCTAGATGGTAAGTGTTTTATTGGCACCCATGTTGGATCTGGATGTGCCACTTTATAGTTAACTCCATTGCAGCCTTCTGTTCAAATGTTTTGAGTTCTTCCCAAACAATATCAACATCCCTGGGAACTCTGGGCAGGCCTCCTAAGCTGGTCTTCATATAGGCTTTGTCCCACACAAGACAACCACTCTATTGTAAGCCAAAAAGGATTTAAAGAAGTCTATGCCAAGCTGTGGCACTCATACAAGTCCACACACTGGTTAGAATTGTTTGCTTTCTAATCACATGCAAGAACAACTACAGTAAATAGAAACTTCACGGTAAGTCAGAGTTGACATGGGAGAATATGACAAAATATTATAAATGAATAACTTATTCAGACTGTCATACTGCTCTCACAAAGACAGATGTTTAGGCCAATGGAACCTAATTTTGGTCCTGCCCTGGACATTGTACTTTTCCCTGTTCTTGCACACCCACTTCAACTAAGTAAGGGCTTGTTAATTAGTTCATTAGTTGGGTCAAGTATGTCCAGAACTGGCACTGTTTAGGCTGATACTTAAACTAATGTACCAACCTGTGGGGAGAGGCCGTTGCTGACCGGGTTCATGTGGTTGCTTGAAGCGGAAGGGCTCATGAAGGTGTCCGAGTAGCTGGAGAAGGTGTGACGATTGGACGAGAGGCCGTAGGCAGAGCTGCTGTCTGCCGAGAGTCCTCCTTGGTGCATGGAAGAGGGCGGGAGAGGCTGAGGTCGATGCAATGTACTACTGCCATCTAAAATACAAAGGTATACTGTATTAAAACGACAACCTAAAGTAACTAAAGTGGAGGTCTCTTGAAAGCACTTGATGATGTGCAGAAGTTGATTGGTTTTTACCCTGTGAGAGGGTCGTGCTAGGGTAGGTGGTCTCTGGAAGCTGGTAAGTTGGTAAGGTTGGCATTCCAGTTGGAGGAAACCCTCCAGGTAACAGGTGGTTGAACGCTGCCAGCTGATTGGCTCCAGCCTGCTTACGCCATCTGGCTCTTCGGTTGCTAAACCATACCTAGAAACAGAATATACATGAAGGAATGAGAGTTAGAATCAAATGGATACCGAAAAAGGTCCTCTTTGTTATCAACATTACGGATGTGGATGAGGATACAACTTTCTGTAGGATCTCTTTTTACAAGCGAGACATTCAAAATGAACAACGTACCAATGGCTTTACTGATACTCTCTCAGAAATAAAGGTTTGAAACTGTCACTGGGGCAGTGCCCCTCTTGTCACTGGGGTGGTTCCCTCAAGGGTTCATCTCAGTATCTTTAGTCAGGGAACATAACTGTACCATAATCCACTGAAATTATATTCTCTAAGTTGTATTGACTCCACACACCCCGTCTCGACTCAAGGCTTTTTATTTTATTGTTCTGTCTTGAAACATGAGGTTTTGAAAAGGCATAAATATGTACTTTTCACCTGGGAATACTTCTTTAAGGTACACAGTTGGACCTTAAAACCAGTGTTGTACCTTTGAGGGTAGATTTGAACCTTGGTGGAGGAAAAACGTCCCGGCACAGAACCTTTATTTTTAACAGTGTACAGAGTGTGTGATTGAGAGAACGTCCCTGTGGGAAACTGTGCTTTAGTACACAGTGAGGCCCCTGTTGTTCTTGCTAAGTGGCTGAGGCTGTGATCTATGTAAACAAGCCTCCGTAAACCACCATCAGAGAGGCAGAGTGATTATGGGGTCGGAGGTAGGCCACACATCTCCCCAGCGTTCAACTGTTTATCAACCTGCTCGACACTTTCAAGACAGCCAGTAGAAACACAGCTACCACTGTCCTACACCTTCTCACTTTCATACAATCAATACACATTTCAAGCCTTGTTTTTTGCTTCATATTTAAAAAAGGTGGTACACTCCTGAGAGTGTATGTTCCGCCAAAAAAGAAAAAAATAAATAAACAAGGCATGTTTGTACCCATAACTGAAAAAGGTATCCACCATTATCGACCAAATCCTCTTTTCTCCGACTCATTGTCATCAAACTACAAAATAAGCTCCCATAGAAGCCAAAGCGACTCTAGACGCTCCCTTTTTTACCGGGGGTAATTTACACATTGTAAAAAGGCTTCTGCTTCAGCAAAACATGAATATAATTAGAGGTTGTGAAAAGGCTTGGCCCGTACAGACGGCAACCTGCTCTATTTCCCTGGGACAAGGCCGGGGCCCCGTGTGCGCCAAAGGTTGAACGACATTGATCTATGCCTCGCTCTGGCAATTCATCCACACTTAATACACTGTCAGCGCAGTTCATCTACTGTTGTGTTTCAAACGGGCCGGCCCATTGTGAGGCCAGATGAAAGGGGGGGACAAAGGCCTCTCAATACGGCAGACCGAACACTGGCCACAAAGAGTGGGCGTCCCTTTTTAAACAGGCCTTTAAGAGTTCCACTTTCATGGTATGCACACAAGAACACACTCTATTCGGAGGCGACGACACCGCAGACACACTCGACAAAACACACACGCACGCAGATACACACACACACACACCCTCGCCAGCTCCCCCCTCTTACAAAGCAGTATTTATATTGTCTGTGTGCAAAACTGTCAGGCCGCTAGCAGCTAGCATCTCATTCAGAACAGCTTCAATGGATCTTTAACGTTTGATGCGACTAAAGATGACTCTTACCCATCTGTCAAGTGTTGGGTTCAAACCCTCTTTTTTCTTTACTTTCAGAAAGCACTGCCCACCCTCCCCCCAACTTTCAGTCCCTAAAGCTTCTGAGGGGGCTTGTCCCCCTCAACCCCCGCCTTAACCCAGCCCCAAGTCTTAACCCAAGCCCCTCTGGCATGAAAAAGGCAACGAAAGTGAGTCTCATGTCCTTGAGTGGCTCCGTAAGGGTGCGCTGGAGCGGGTGGCTAAGCTTGAACTGACCTCCTACTGGGGCTGGACAAACAGTTTGCCTGGCCCCGGGGCAGGGAAGCTGTGATGCACCACTTCCTTCCCCCAGCAACTCCAAAAGGCATCCAACCCTGCGGTGCCACCTGACCTACGACCCTGGGACCCTACTCTTGACCCTGTCAGCCTTTCATCTCCACAGCAACTGTCTTCCTTCTACTCCATCCAGAGGTGTCATGGTCCTGAATCATCACAGCGAAGTTACATAAACTTTTATGAACCCAAAAATCTTTTTTTGATACTGTGAGTTGGTGAGACATGTGGGCAAAGTGGTGTAGACATCCTTCCACACAAGAACTTTCAGGAGCTCATGGATACCAGAACCAGATTTCAGTTCCTGGGCTGTAGTTTCAGGAAATGTTTCAGTTCCTACTCCAGACTGGATACATTTTTGGAGAACTTTGGAGCCCTTTGAGGATACATGTCTAGAGACAACTTGATAAACTTTTTGTGCTGGGTTTTAGTGCTATTAATAAGGTTAATTCCCCTCCAACATCTGGACATCTTGAGTAATTGATAACACAAGCAAACCAAGCAAGCTTGTTAGTCAAAGGAACTGCCAAAAATGGTAGAAAACCCCCCCAGTGGAAGAAGTAATGTTCATTTTTAGTGTAATGTGTTCTCTGTACACAAGACACATATCTACATGCTTAATTACAGTTTTCTTGTCCTGCCATTCTTACTTACATTACGTCCATGTGCTAACTTCAGGCTTGTTGTATATCAGACAGAGTTGTTGATTGCATCATTACCCTTTGAGCTCTGCCTTCACAAGGCACTGGATTAGTTTAGAAATTCCATACTTTGTTCCCACCTCAATAAGTCTACTTTCCCATCTTCATTTAGCCCAAAATGTCTCATGGTTGTCCCCAGACTCTCTCATCATGAGATTACATCTGGCCCAGCAAGACAAACTACAAATTAGAATAGAATGAATTTACCAGCAGAGCAAGTGAGAAAGAAGAACCAGCTATTAAAACGCCCAGGCATGAAACCATTTCTCAGCATCGAAAAGTCTGAGTTGTCAACTCAGATGAGCTGAAAAGCACAGCAAATCAACAACATAAGTCTCAGTTTCCTCCATGTTTGCTATGTTGCTGTACTATACTGCCACACAGTTTCCGTCACTTCTGTTATGTTACGTAACGGTCACAGTTCCTAGTGCAGTGGCCATGCAAAACAAGAATTCATTGAGGATCATTTCAGAACTATTTTACTCTTCAAAAGGTTCCAGAACCACGGGTGGAAATGAGCCTTAAGACCACACTGTGCTACACGAGGCTACATTGCAATCCTCACCCGTAATTCTATAAAGAGATTTGAAATCCTCTTCTCACTCTCACAGTGGAGACTCTTCATCCTTGCAGCCCGCAAGCTGAGACAATGGCTCTAGATCTTGTGCCCTGGCCATGCGGACAGCCGTCTGCCTTAATCATAAGAGGAGCCTGTGAAGCCGATCTGTCTAAGTGAATTTGCCATGAGCCCTTTGAATTGAAAGCAGCGTCACCGAGGAACACAAGTTAACTGGAATGCCAGCAGTGCGCTGCTCTATCGAGTTAAAGCTGCCAAACATTAAGGCCTCTGTACCCATATAAAAAACTGTTCTGTTTAGTGCGCATGGAGGTGGGGAGGGTAAGAGATGAGTGCATTACCAAATGCCTCTTTCTGTGTTTGTGTGTGTGTAAGGATGCTGCTTGGGTTTAGGCCACACCAGCCGTTGCCTGTGAGCTGGATTTGGGGCTCCGCTCTGGAACCCGATCACAAAGTCACCTTGGACAGTCCCAGATTCCCGCACTCCACAATCCAGTCTAATTCCTCCGCAGAGACGTGCCTCATCCCTCCCCCTGCGGAGGCCGTGTGTGTGTGCAAGGGCTTCGGTGTTGCCCCTAGCCTTGCCTACCGAGACTACAGCTCTGCCACTTTCTGGGGGAGGAAATGGAGTCTGAGTGGCAAACCAAGCCTACAACAAGGATTCAAGAGTGTTGTATAGTGGGGCCGCAACTTAACAAGTGCCACTAGCGCTTGTTAAGACGATGTGTGCAAAAATGTTTGGTATTTTTGCAGGACAGGTAACTGTGGATGTTTTCAAGATGTTAACATCTTCCCACATATTTCTAAAACAGTAAAGTCTTAGAACAGCACCAACATGGTGAACTGTGGGATATATAGATAGCCCAACACTGCTTTGATGTGGTACTTGGGAAAGGGTGGATCAAAAGAATTCTTCAGCAAAAAAATCTAATTTACACAATTTCCAACTTATTCAAGATGTAGTTGATCAGCCAAGGCATGTTTGGAGTCCAAATTTCGCTTTAATTTAGAACAGGAGCTGCAAGGCCAGTGTGCTAACAAAGATTACAACTAAATGGTCACCTAAATAGCCCTAATAATTTCCATAAAAATACATCCCTGAAGCTTCTCTTAAAACACTTAAATCACATTGAGGTAATAATTACGGTCAGACTTGTCCAGACCTATCGAACTGGGGATATTCCAGGCCAAAGATGCTGCGGAGATTAACGTTTACCCTCATCTAACACTCTGAATTCAGTTCAGGAAGGCCTTGCTAATTAGTTGATGAGCTGAATCAGGTGTTTAATGAGGCACCGCGCTGAAGTCTGCAGTGTTTTGGCCCGTCAGGACAGGAGCTTGACACATGTGGACTAGTCGATGTGTTTTAGGACACAGTACGACTTACTGTGAACTATGAGTCAATTATCTTGGCTAATAAACTACATCTAGGACAAGTGGGAAATTGTGTGAATTAGATTTTTTGCCAAACTATTCCATTAACCCTCTTAAAATCCCAGGCTTATTACATAATAAAATTTATTATTCAGTAATTACAGGAACTTCAATGCAAGCTTGATGGAGCTATTCTTAGGCTGTAGAAGTTTGTAATAAAGCTTTGACCATTGAAGGGGTTAAGTATGTGTTTTGCACATTTACGGACTAGGACATACTTGAAAAGTTACTGGAGGGCACATGAACATGCACATCAGTATGCAAAACCGCAAGAGTGAACTTTGGGGCAGAGCCAAATTGATCTGTGCGACAAGAGATTTTACAGTGAATTGAAACAAAAGAAGGCATATCG